AAGTTTGGTCAAAATTGGCCCAGTGGTTCTTGAGAAGAAATCGAAAATGTGAAAAGTTTACAGACGGACGGACAGACAGACAGACGGACGGACGACGGACAAAATGTGATCAGAAAAGCTCACTTGAGCCTTCGGCTCAGGTGAACTAAAATGTTAATGTTATTTTATACTATTACTTAAATGCAAATCGACTTTTCAAAAAGCTTGCCTGACTAAGGCAATCAAAATCTATAGAATATATAGGCATGGTAGCATATAAATATTTCCGTCCATTTTTTTTTTTTGAAAAGGGGGGGGGTCGAAATATTTCATTACCCTATGTTTGGTAGACATTAATAAAGAAATGTATTTTTTCTTCTTTGTGACTCATCAGAAGAGTTTATAAACCCTTCGACTTGTTACAGTAGCTATAATCCTGTCCTGTCTTGTCGATAAGTTTCATCTTTTGGAAGAACAACATCATTCATTCATTTCATTAAAAAGAACTTTAAAAATTTTAAATATATATATATATATATGTGTGTGTGTGTGATTATACTAAATTCATTTCATTCAGCCTTATCGATATTATATATACGATAAGTATTTTTGTTGAAGTACACCATTTCATTTCTTGATTTGGCTTTTTTCCCCGATTCATTGCTTTGGATAACTACATTAATGTTTTTCTAAATTTAAAGTTATTATAAATTGCTTTAATTTACAGACATTATACTGCCAAGAGACATTTCTAATTCATGCCTAACCAAATACATGTATGAACTTTTGACACATGGCACTGTTTTGAACTTACCCGGCAATATAGTAGATTGAAATAGTTGTTTGAGGTTTGTTCTCTTCTTGACCCCATGGCAAATAAGCTTAGAAAACTTGTTTTCACAATGTGCTTCCTAAACAATTTGCGAGAGCGTGAAATGCGTTTGAAATGTCGGCAAGTATACATTAGTATATGTATAAAAAAAAACACTGTAGATAACCATCAGTATATGAATATATATATATATATATTAGCACTCTAAGTGACCATCAATGACATTTTTACTTTCTATTCTTTTCTTTATCCCGAGAAGGGGATGGGGCGTCCCACAGAATGGATGATTTCTATCGTTCGTGCTTTGTATAAATTCTTTCCATTCGTGATCTCATATCTATTTATTTAGTGGATCCAACATAATAGGATATACAGTGCGAAAGTTTCGCGTTCTAACGCGAAAAAATTAATTTTGAAATTTTTATTTTTTAACATACGAAAGTACATGTAAGAACAATGGCGTAAATATCTAACGAAAGCTAATTGAGCTCATTTTCATAGGTTAAAAATACATGTTTTAAAATTAATATACAATATATTAATTATTTTAATTTTAATATAAGTTATATTAATTAGTAGGGTTTTTGAAATAAAATGCAAAAATATGAAGACCTATATCTATCATAATTATTCTCGCACCATTTCTCCTTTACATCTTCTGAGGAAAGATCATTTATAAATTCCTAGAAGTCCCCGTCTGCGTTCATGTTTTATATCTGTCAGTCAAGATCAAAGATCTCTGACTAACGTTACTATATACCATAGAAGTTAGGTCTATGTATATACTCAGTATACATAAAATTTCGCGAAATAACGCGCAAGTTTTGCATTAGAACGCGAAAGTTTCGCGTTAATTCGGGAAAGATACGCATTATAACGGAAAAGTTAGTAAACGCGTTTATTCGCAAAAAGTTTCGCGTTATGACGCGATCATTTCGCTTTCGTTCGCGAGAGTTTTGCGTAATTACGCAAAAAAGGTATTTTTAACCTACGAAAATGAGCTCAATGGGCGTTCGTGTTCAGTGATGTAAGAGCGTAAGTAATTGTTAGCAAATCGAACACAGCCGGTAAAATGTAAACATAAACAAGAAAGAAGCAGAACATGTGTTTATAATTTATAAAAGAACTTTATTGTTATTTAGTTTTGGGGATTTTTGTGTTAGTTTACGTCTCATTGAATTGAGGTGGTCTTATATGAAACAAAATGCCTATAATGGAAGTGCGTCTTTGTCACTTAAAAGGACTTAAGAGAGAGAGTTTCCACAAATGTTTGTCAATGTCTGCAGGTATGAGACACAGGCACCTGAAGTTACTTATTTTTCTTTTAATAAAAGAAAATATACCCATAACTCATAATAAAAAAGGTGTTTATTTTTAGTTATGGGTATATATTTTTTTTATTAAAAGAAAAATAAGTAACGTCAGGTGCCTGTGGTATGAGAGTTTTTGATGTTGCCTATGTCCACAAAACAACTGTAATAACAATTAGCAGGTAGTTTTGGGTTTGAAAGGGGGAGAAAAGTTTGATAAAATAGGAGATTGACCAAAAAAAAAAATCTCATTCCGTAAGGACATATGTTTCTCAGCTTCTTATCAGCCTTTAAATGAACATTTTCAGTAGTAAAAGTAAATGTTTCGAGAGAAAAAAGTAGGACTCCTCCTCCCCCCAACCCCGATACCACGTGACTCTAGAAGAAATCTAGGTCAGCTGAGGACTGTCCAAGAGCAATAAGACCAAAAAACTTATAGCAAGATACACCCTACGTCAGGATGCGACAGATTTCTACAAACTCCCATCACCATTGCTAATGATCCTAATCGATTGAAGAATCGCAAAGATAGAAGAGCGCGGGGTTTTGACTTTCTTTTGAAACCATCTGAAGTGGTCTCTGCAGTGCGCAAGGAAAACGGACAAGATACTAGAATTTAACCATTCGTTAGACAGCAAACTTGTTCCAGCATACAATATATACAAAATAAAGTGGCAATCGTTCAAAAATTATTTACCACTTCATTTATTTTCCACTCTTTAATTTTGAAAATAAGAAGATGTTTTAGAATGTTGTTTAACTTTTTTTTGACGTAGTGCATCAATGGTTTGGCAGTAGTGACCTGCACTTTATACATTACAAACATGTACTAAAAACGTTCTTCCTTTCCTTCTTTTCTCCTACGAGTTGTAGAGATCTTGTCAATTTTATTTATCTGTTTAATTTTTTTTCTACATTTTCACATTTTTTATTGGTTAACACACACAAAAAACCCATCTTTCAATGTGCTTTAAGTATGCCTGACTTGCAGCCAAACAAACATTTAGATTTGGTTGTCTTAATGTTTAAGTCAGTTTTTTTTAATCAACTTCAAATATCAGTTCTAATTTTTCTACTTTCCGAGTTTTATTGTCATAAGAGAAACAGCCTTAGGGTATGTCCACTTAACCGAGCTTTCTACGTACTTGCGAGCATTGATACCTGGAACGAATTGTTCTGATTTTTAGCTCACCTGTCAAGTGAGCTTTTCTGATCACATTTTGTCCGTCAGTTTTGTTTGTCGTAAACTTATCACATTTTCATCTTCTTCTCAAGATAATTTCAACCAAACTTGGCACAAAGTATCCTTGGGTAAAAGGGATTCAAGTTTGTTCAAATGAAGGGCCACGCCCTTTTCCAAGGGGAGATAATCATGATTTAGAGAAAAATTATTGGCATTTTTAAAAAATCTTCTCCTCAAGAACCACTGGGCCAGGAAAGATGAAACTCATGTGGAATCATCCTCAGGTAGAGTAGATTCAAGTTTGTTCAAGTCATGACCCCCGGGGGTAGGGCGGGGCCAAAATGGCCGATCAAAGTTTTACATAGGAATATATAGGAAAAATCTTTAAAAATCTTCTTCTCAAGAACCACTGGGCCAGGAAAGATGAAACTCATGTGGAATCATCCTCAGGTAGTGTAGATTCAAGTTTGTTCCAGTCATGACCCCCGGGGGTAGGGCGGGGCCAAAAGGCCGATCAAAGTTTTACATAGGAATACATGTATATAGGAAAAATCTTTAAAAATCTTCTTCTCAAGAACCACTGGGCCAGGAAAGATGAAACTCATGTGGAATCATCCTCAGGTAGAGTAGATTCAAGTTTGTTCAAGTCATGACCCCGGGGTAAGGGTGTGGCCAAAATGGCCGATTTTATATAGAAATATATAGGGAAACCTTTTTAAATCTTCTTTTCAAGTACTTCAAAGCCAGGATTAGTAATATCTGTATGGAATCATCCTCAGGTAATGTAGATTCTAGTTCGTTCAAATTATGATCCCCTTGGGGGTTAAAATTCAACCCCACCCCCCACCCCCAACTTAAATTAAATTTCAGTTCTGATCTTATGTGTTTTTTCCTAGCTGATGTGCTCAGGTGAGCGCTGTGGCCCCTGGGCCTCTTGTTCTTGAAGTCATGAAATTGGGTATGTATGATAAAATGCAGGTAAGTCATGTGACCAAGCTTATAAAGTCTATTAATTGAGATATACGAGTTATAATTATTTTGACAGGTGGCCAGGCAAGGTAAGCAGATACTTTTAAATCATTTTTTCTTACATATAGTCTATTTAAATGTTGAATTTTATTTATGATTTATTCCAGTTGTTAATGCACTAATAAAAATTTATAAGAAAAAATAGCTTTCTTGGAAGAGACATATAGAAAATTTGTGACTTTATAAATACTAGTATTATTTAAAGTGTTTCCATCTTGTTTCAAATTTTAGTTTAAATTTAATTTCGTTTTCCCCGATTTTTATATATAATAATTATGTATAATTAGGTACCTGAAAAAAATTATTTGTGTTTATGTACTAGTTATTTCAGCTTTAAAATATTTTTTAAAAATATTTTTAACTATCTACATTTTCACTTCAAATAGCTGGTTCTTATTTCGTGTTTATTTTTAAATTGTCTTTTTCTGAAATTTTTCATTTTCAAACTGGAGGGGGTTTGATCTAGCTGTAGAACCGTAGCTCTCCGAAAAAATATATTGACAGACCTTTTTTTCGGAGAGCTACAGTTCTGCAGCTAGGTTTAATCTTGCCTGTGTTTGCCCTGTTTTATTTTACTTATCTATTCTATTTGTTTTTTCTGTTCTAATCTATTTTCTTTATGTTAATTTTATTATTATCATTTTTTAAATGGATTTTTCCAGATGACCAGTTCCGTATTATTTCCAGTCGTTTTGTTGATGACCCTACACGCCCCCGTTAAGGGGACGACAGAGGGGCTGTCGGCGGAGGAGAGGGATCAGTTCTATAACAACCAGGTCAACGGAGGGACAGTCACGGTCACGGAGTATACCGACAAGTAAGGACTTACCTCTATCAGATTTCCTGCTGCATTTTATTTCCGAAAATCTGCATAGCATTTCCGACATTTTTAAATTTCATTTCCGACCTTTTTTAAAAATTATTTTCATGAATTTACCTATGCGGCAAAAAGTGCATTTTAGTGCAATATATTGATTAAAAATATAAAAATCCACCTATCATACATTCCTCATCCAGCACTAATTAAGAATTAAGTGTAATGAGAGCTATTAAAAATTTCGAATTGCATTATGCTCAAAATTTAGAATGCATATATACAAAATATACAGCTTAATTGATTATAATATATATACAGTGTATAAGTAGGCCTACAGAAAGTGTATAAGTACCGAAAGACAATAACAACATGTCCATCAGCAAAGCTTGAAAAGATAAATTAGAAAATAATAGTACGCTCTAAGTTCAAAATATACAACATACTTAATTATAAGATATACATGTACATTGTATCAGTAGCAAACAACAATCACAAAATGTCCATCAGCACAGCCTTAAAAGATAAATAATAAAATATTAGTATGCTATAAGTATCATTTGGTTCATACGTATGATATGATATGTGTGAATATACAAATGTTGTAAGCTTTTTTTCACGCCTGGTCATATGTGTAACTATTCATTTCTGTTCCAGTGACTACCGAGTATTGAACCTCTAATTAAATTTGGTCAATTAGAAAAGAAAAATTAACCTTTATTTAAAAAAAAAAAAAATTTGATAATTTACGTCGCATCCTTAGCTTGCTATATCATACGGAAGCGTATTAGTGCCACGGAATATTTTTTTAAGTTGGTAATTCCAACTCTAATGTTGGAAATTCCAACTTTAATCTTGGCTTTTCCAACTTTAAAGTTGGCAATTCCATTTAAAGTTGGAAATTCCAACTTTAATCTTGGATTCCAACTTTGATCTTGGCTTTTCCAACTTTAAAGTTGGTAATTCCAACTTTAAAGTTGGAAATTCCAAAATCTTGGCTTTTCCAACTTTAAAGTTGATAATTCCAACTTTAATCTTGGCTTTTCCAACTTTAATCTTGGTTTTTCCAACTTTAATTTTGGCTTTTCCAACTTTTTTTGGCTTTTCCAACTTTGACTTTTGACTTTAAAGTTGGAAATTCCAACTTTAATCTTGGCTTTTCCAACTTTAAAGTTGATAATTCCAACTTTAATTCTTTTCCAACTTTAAGGTTGGTAATTCAACTTTAAAAGTTGGAAATTCCAAATTTAATCTTGGCTTTTCCAGCTTTAATCTTGGTTTTTCCAACTTTAATTTTGGCTTTTCCAACTTTGACTTTTGACGTTTTAAGAAGGATTTTATTATGTTTTTACTTATTAATTTTTTGCTTGTCAACATATTTCTGGGTGCCTGAGCGCCATGGAATTGATACATTTTGTATATAATTTAGTAGAAAATGTTTCATTTGATTAAATAAAATATATAATATCTGTAATTGGTTAAGTTGAAATCCTGTCATGTACGGAATACTTTGTCCATAATTTATAGGAAGTTATTCTCAAATTACACAAGAGAACTTAAAGGAATATAAGTAAAAGTTGGAAGTTTTATGTAAAGGCCCTGTCACACCAAGCTGCGTTCACACGGAGTTATTACGGCGTTGTCGAATTTTTAAAATCGCCGTGGAATCGCAGGAAAATTGCACAAATTTCTGTAAAACTTTCACAATATGAAGATGTCACGGCGTCCCTACGGCGACGGACGCGATTCTACGGCGATCTCACGGCGTTCTACTGTGTTTCCAAGGAGATCTCTCGGCGATATTCCGCGGAGTTTTAACGGCGCGTTAGGAACACCTCGTGTTCACGGCGTTCTCACTGCGCTGGCTTTCACAATACGTATGCACTCTAAACTCAGTAAATATTCTTAATAATTAAAAATGTTCTATATTTAAATAATTTAAAAATTATTAATAGTTTTATGATTAAAATCTTTTTTTTTTAATTTCATTGGTTCAAAATTTTCTTTATTTTATTATGAATTTAAAAAAAAAAATAAACACACCGAAAAGTTTTCTAAAAAATTTAAGTGAAACACAGAACAAGTTCTAGTGTAATTTTCTCTTCCATTTTTTCAAATGCTTCAACTAATACGTTGTTATTGCTATCAAATATGATCCCATTGCTCTTGTTTTGTGACAACGCTCTAACAACGCCGTGAAAGCGCATTGTGATCGCCAACGGACGCTGTAGAAACGCCGTGGGAGCGCAATGATCGCAGTGACAACTCCGTGCTGTCGTCGTGTAATCGCAGTCGAAAAAATCATAAGACGATAAATCTCATTAGAAGCGCCGTAAAAACGCGATGGAAACGCAGTGACATCTCCAAGGACTCCGTGACATCTCCGTGAGGTCTCCGTGGAAGCGCATTTACTATCACTGCGTTCGTGCCGCGATCATATGCGTCTTCACGGCGTTCGTACGGAGCTATACGTTGTTGGAGATCCCACCGCGCTGCAGCGGCGATCAAACGTTTCTACTGCGTTCTGATCAGAATCACAATATGCCCAAAGTGATCGCCGTCCCCTGGCGTTCTTGGAGACCCTACGCGACCCTACGGCGTTCAGTGGAGATCTCGCCACTTTGTCACGGCGCTGCAGGAGATCATCATCACCTCGGCGTTTTGCATTTTTTAAAGACGCCGTGCAGTCGCCGTGAGGACGCAGCCCTGGTGTGACAGGGGTTTAACGTAATAAGGAAGGTCAAGAAAAATAATAAAACAAACACAGATAAAAAGAGTTCAACAATTTATTCTAATGTGCTAATATTTATTTTCCATTGTAAAAGTGCCATATTATAACTCCCCATAATCCCGTCCGCTCTTCTACCCCCCCCCCCATTCGGTACCCCTAGATTGCAATGATAAATTGCCAACAAATCTATTTCAGTGTGTTATTTTCACTTTAATTAAGTTTGTGATACTTTTAACAAAAGAAAAAAACTAAGAAAAGTGGGTAGAAAAGCCAGTATTAAAGTTGGAATGTGTTTGAAAAGCCAAGATTAAAGTTGGAATTACCAACTTTAAAGCTGGAAAAGCCAAGATTAATGTTGAAATTTCCAACTTTTAAAGTTGGAATTACCAACTTTAAAGTTGGAAAAGCCAAGATTTAAATTTAAAGTTGGAAAAGCCAAGATTAAAGTTGGAATTACCAACTTAACTTTAAAGTTGGAAAAGCCAAGATTAAAGTTGGAATTTCCAATTTTAAAGTGTTTCCATTTAAAGTTGGAATTTCCAACTTTTAAAGTTGGAATTACCAACTTTAAAGTTGGAAAAGCCAAATTAAAAATTTCTTTAAAGTTGGAAAAGCCAAGATTAAAGTTGGAATTAAAAACTTTAAAGTTGGTATTAAACTTTATAAAAAATATTGCGTGGCACTAATACGCTTCCGTAATGTCAATGCTGCCGTTGCATTTTCAAAAAAATAAAGTGTAATCTTCGTGACCCCTCATTTTTTCAAAACAGGATTCTTCCGTAAAATTGAATAAATTCATGCACACCATATGGATAAATAACTTTAGAGGTTAGTAATTTTACAATTCAGTCAGGGTGCCTGAGGATGTTTTCAATATTCTTGATTCATTACACCACTACCTGAAATCAGAGAAAATGATAACTATCTATCCTATCTTATACATCTTATAATGCATTCAACTGTTATTTCAGTTTTGTCGTCGAAGCAAATGGACTTCCTGACCATACTATGAGCAGGAACACGGTATCCCAAAACTTCCAGTTCACGTTCTACAAGCAACTAGAGTTTGCCTGCACTCCCGGGAGTTTACCGAAGGGGATAATTGCACTCACAAAGACTGGTGTCGCCATCTATAACCCGCTTACCAGTGATAATTTAAATGCTGGTGATTTTTTTTGCTTAAGATGTTTTAAAGAAAAATTTAAAAACAATATAATAAAAATTCAGCTCTCGAATCGTTACTTTGCTGAAAAAATCTTACCAATAAACAAATTCTTTTAAAGATTTTATAATTGCTCTTAGAAAATAAAATGGCGGATCAAATTAACCAGAGTTAAGACAGTATGAGTTTCCCTATTAACATCTTAATTACTAGATTTTGTCAACAAACCAATGAATGAGGGCAGTTTTGTTTGATGATTCGATTTCACTTTTTTTCTTCATGCAGTGGAGGGCGGCAATGTAGAGACATTTGACCGATGTAATGGGCACGCTGACGCCAATGGAGTTTACCACTACCACCAGTCACCAGGCTCAGATGACTGTGGAGATACCAACACAGAAGACTATGACCAGTTTATTGGTAACTAATTCTACTTATTCAATGGTCCGTTTTAATTATGTACATTGTATATGCGACAAAATGTTTCTGGGATAAAACACTACTGATGAAAATACATGTAATGTTTCTTGAAGGTGTTGCCCTGGATGGATTTCCAATTTACGGTCCCTACGCTTCCGACAAGGGTTCGGAGCCACTGACTGCAGATGACCTTGACATTTGTCATGGTCGAATGGTGGACGGAAAGTACCGATACCATTTGACCTCTGACTTTCCGTACGTCCTGGGGTGCTACTGGGGAGCTGATGCCAGAAATAACTCAAACAGAGTGTCTTATTCATGTGATCTAAATGTTGGAACAGGTGAGCACTGAGCAAACATCAGCGTATAGCAGTATTCATGCTTACCTATTTACACACAAGGGGCGATGAGGGGGGGGTTAACTACTTCGTTTGGGTTACGTGATCCTCATATTTTTACAGAAAGGTTCCTTAGTATCCATAGTAAATCAAGCAAAATATGTTACCGTTCCTTATGAAGTATTATACTATAAAAGTAAAAGAAAGTTTAAAGTAAAAAAAAAAAGAATTTTTAAATTTGACAAGCATGGATTTCTCTCCTCCTTCCCGATTATTTTTTTTTCAACATTTGCAAAAGCGAATGATCGTACATTAGTTTCGTCTCAATGCCTTACAGATCTGCCAGAATACGGATACCTATGTTGCAATGTCGACCAGCGCAATGTGGACTCCACTGTCTGTTCCAGTTACCCCGGAACGGTGGACGTGACGACAGATGACGGTGGTACAGATGCCCCCACCCAGGCGCCCACCACTGCCGCCCCCACCACCGCAGCCACTACAACACAAGCCCCCAGAACCCGACGACCTAAGGGTGGACGTAGATCCAGGGTAAACAAACCCGACCCAGCTAGAGAGGCTCACCTCAAAAAGTGGCTCCGACAGCTTCTTAAGGAGACCAAATAATTGTTTTTGTACATAAAATGTCAGATCTGTATCAGTGAGACCTAAGCTATAGAGTACATGTACATTTTTATTCCATGTACATTTTTATTCCTAATAGATCAGCTCTAGATACATTACTTTGCCTGCAGATTGAATATAATAAAGATTTTTTTACTTCTCTGATTAAATGGGTCTAACAAGTGAATTTCTTTTTGGTTTTGGTGTTAATTTTTTTTTTTTCATTTTTCTTATTACACATACTTCATTCTTTGGAATCTCCAAGCATCTAAAAAAAATCATAACTTTTAGCAAAAAGTTTTCAAAAATTTTAAACTTTAATATTTGTTAGAAATAGTTATTATAGCATTAATGAAAAATATATACAGATGTATATATAATAATTAGCTACACCAGCATGCGTTGTAAAATATGATAGGCTTTCACCAATATAAGAGTTGTAATATTCCGCTAACACCTGCAGTCTCCCATACATCTCTCAACTTGTATTTATACTCAAGAGCATGCTCCAGCTACGATAAATTCCTTAAACAGAGATAGTACAGGCTACTGACATGCTAAAAACGACGGTAGTGACCGGTATAGCGGGTTATTTCTCCCAGGCACCCACTCCCACCTCTGGGATTTCCAGACACCCGTGTATTTTATGCCCTCTTGAAAGATCTGTAATGTGCTTTTTTTTTTAATTGATAAGTGTTCGTAATCTTCGAGTTATTCATCTATATCGAGGGATATAAACTCTTGTTTCAAGGAAATCGATACAGATACATGTCACGTTCATGGAAATGCACTGTATGATGCAAAATTGGCAATATCAACTGTTTATAAGAAAGGTAGGAAAAAAATGCAAGATGTGAAAGACTACGGCACTAAGAGGGTTAAAAATTTGTTTCTATACAAATTTATGCAAAATATTCTAACATTTCTAATGTTTTATTGAGCGGTCGGGGGAAAATCGATGTTTGACCGCTGAGTGAGATGTTGGACCTGTCGCTGAGATGTTAGGCCGCTTACTTCGCACATAGGGGGAAGTTTAATCTCATCTGCATCCACTGGTGTTCTATACAGTGGCAGAAATTGACCGAGTTTTCCCTCAGGTTACATGACGGAAGAGAACTACAAGATACATGCAAAAACTAGAGCTACTGTTAGCAATGAGCTCACTAAATAATACCCCCCCCCCCCCCGCCTTCCATATGATTACAATGGCAAAGTTCATGTTTTGCTGTGGTCGGGAAACCCAAAATATGTGTCGGATCAAAAAACAGAATAGAAGGTGCACAATGGCAATATGTAATAAAGATTCTGTGAAAGTTTCATTAAATTTCACTCAGAGGTATAAGAGGAGTTGCGGATAAGAGATGGGTATCCCAAAGCGTAACAGACAGACGGACGGACATACCTATTACAGTATATCCTCCCACTTTTCAAGCGGGGGGTATAATAATAAGCTGTGTAAATTTTGATAACAAAAGCTCAAATACATCTCGAGATATCGCTTTAAAAAAAACGAAAGCGTTACGCACAGACAGAACTTCAGACGGACGGACAAACAGACCAAAATTAATATACACCACTTTCAGCGGGGATGGGGGATATCAATCGATGAAAAATCTTGTATAATTCAAGGTAAACTAGAGGTACTGTGTGCAATGAGCTCACTAAATGATACCCCCTGCCTCCCATCTGATTATAATGGAAAAGTCCATGTTTTGCTATGGCCTGGAAACCCAAAATATGTGTCGGATCAAAAAGTAAAGTAGAAGGTGCACAATGGCAATATGTAATAAAGATTCTGTGAAAGTTTCATTAAATTTCACTCAGTGGTATAAGAGGAGTTGGGGATAAGAGCTAGGTACTCCAAAGCGTAACAGACGGACGGACTTTTCAAGCGGGGGGTATAAATATACATGTACAGGAATAAGTGTACAACAGTATAAATAGAATTCGGACGGAATTAACGATTACTATATACCCTCCCGCTTTTCAAGCGGGGGGTATAATGAAGCACACAGTTCAAGGCTTAGTGGAGCATTTGAACTGAACTCTACATCTCCATGGAAAAAGACAAATAAGTTCAAACTACGTGGCATATGTCCTCAATTGTGTGTAAAGCCTAGTGATGTATGAAGATTGAAGAACTGTTTTAAGGACCCTCTCTACACATGTGCAAAATTTTTTTGGACATTGAGGAAAATATGTTGTATAAAGAATTTAATATTGAGCTTATCTATTCAATTTTCATAGTATGGTGCGTGGCATTTACCCCCGGGGAAAATGTTCAAAGACAACACAATATCAGTGAATAGAAATCACTGTTAATTACTCCAATAGAGAAACTAGAGGTACTGTGAGCGATATGAGCGCCTCCCATATGGTTATAACTGGTGAAAAAGTCCATGTTTTCCTGTGGCCGGGAAACCCAAATTATGTGTCGGATCAAAAAGTAAACTAGTGCTAATTGTAACGGGGACCGTTACAGATGTTCCCCAAACGCTCCCCAACTCCCTTTTGGTGCCATATTCCCTGTTATCTCTATTAAATAAGAAATACTTTATGGAATTTAGACTTAATCAAGGTCTTCCAAGAAAATTACAAAATATATTTTAAAAAAATAGGCATTGCACGCGTGTTTATGTGCGTAACGACCATATTATCTTGTCTACACTATCTAAAATTTTAATAATATCAAAGCATTTAATCCAAAAGTATTAAAAAATGCACTCATTCGAGTGTATTTTTTATTTTACTCATTTCACGTGCACGCACGTGCATAATGACTACACCTTCTTGTAGGAGTCCCTTATATTTATCCAAGTTCTAAATCCCATCCTGTTTGGTTGAAAAACAAGAGAGTTATAGCCATTTGAAGTTTCAGCCAATCAGATTGCAGCACACGTGCATGCGCGTGATTTCATGAATATTTTCTATATCATATTTTAGGATATCGTAATGCATGACTATGTTTTAAATTTCAAAGCATTTCGTCAAAAAACAAAGGAGATATAGCCATTTAAAGTTTTAGCCAATCAGATTACAGCACGCGCGCATGCGCATGCTTTTATTAAAATTTTAATATATCATGCTGTAGATCTTCATAATGTAGGACCATGTTCAAAATTTCAAAAGATTATGACAAGAAACAAGAAAGATATTGAGACTTTAGTTTCAGCCAATCAGAGCAAAGCGCACGTGCATGCGCGTGAGATCTTGCTATTTTGACCATGCCATCTTGTCTATACTACTAATGTATCCTTACATTATGAGTTTCAAAGCATTTTATCAAAAAATAGAAAAGTTCCGACTATATCTATTATATTGGTTATTTCAAGTGTTGCACGTGCGCGCTCTTGCAAGCACGTGCGCGCAAAATGACCTTGATTCCGCAAATCTGCATAACATGTCTACTTACCCTAAAAAGGTTTTACCTACCTCGGACGAACAGTTTACAAGATCATTCCCGGACAAAAAAGTACCCAGGAAGAAGAAGAAGAAAAACTAGTGCTAATTGTAACGGGGACCGTTACAGATGTTCCCCAAACGCTCCCCAACTCCCTTTTGGTGCCATATTCCCTGTAAGCTTCATTAAATAAGACAAACTCTATGCATCTGAGATTTTAACAACATTTACAAAGAAGTGTACAAAAATCATTTAAACTTTAGCATTGCACGCGTGCACATGTGAATGCATTTGCGTCATGACCATATCATCTTGTCTACACAATCTATATTTTTAATATACTGAATATTAAAGTATTTAATCCAAAATTATTTTAAAAAATACGCTCATTCAAGTGTATGTTTGATTTTACTCATTTCACGTGCACGCACGTGCATACATGAGCATGGTGACCATACCTTCTTGTAGAAGTCCATTACATCTATCTATGTTCTAAATTCCACCCCGTTTGGGTGAAAACTAAGGGAGTTATAGCTGTTTAAAGTTTCAGCCAATCAGATTGCAGCACATGTACACGCACGTGTATGCATGTGCATGGTGACCATACCTACTTGTAGAAGTCTATTATATCTATCTATGTATCAAATCCCATCCTGTTTGGTTGAAAACCAAGGGAGTTATAGCTGTTTAAAGTTTCAGCCAATCAGATTGCAGCTCACGTGCATGCACGTGTTTTCATGATAATTGCTTTATTTCATGTTGTAGGATATCCTAATGCATGGCTATGTTCAAAATTTCAAAGGATTTCGTCAAAAAACAAGAAAGATATTGAGACTTTAGTTGCAGCCAATCAGAGCGAAGTGCACGTGCATGCGCGTGAGATCTTGCTATTTTCACCATGTCGTCATGTCTATACTACTAATATATCCTCACATTATGAGTTTCAAAGCATTTCATCTAAAAATAGAACAGTTGTGGCTATATCTATTATATTGGTCATTTCACGTGTTGCACGTGCACGCTCTTGCAAGCACGTGCGCGCAAAATGACCTTGATTCCGCAAATCTACATAACATGTCTACTAACCCTAAAAAGGTTTTACCTACATCGGACGAACAGTTTACAAGATCATTCCCGGACAAAAAAGTTCCAGGAAGAAGAAGAAGAAGAAAAATAATAATAATAATAAGAAACAGAGTAAAAACAATATGTTCCCCAACTTCGTTTGGGGAACATAATAACAGAGTAGTTCCCCAAAACATAACTGTCTGCTATTGCAAGCAATAGCATATGTCGCCCCGTATTAGACAAGACTTTCATTTTTATCATCACTAAAACAAAAGTCCATAAGCTAAGTTTGAAAACCTTTGAGTTATATCAGTCCTTTCCATTGGAAACGGAAGACCTTATATACATCCCTCTCATTATTTTTAGAATCGGTAGGAGAAGAAAGTAGTGCAGGAAAATTACAAGTTCCTCAATTTGCAGACTTGCATAAACGAAATCTGGCAGATGTACTGAACTGAGCCTCATACTTGTTAATTGGCAGTATCTTTCCTATCATAAAAGCTTGGGAAATGTAATTTATGAAGAAGATCAGCCGAATTATTTTGTGTATTGTAACGCCAGTGGGAACTTGAAATTTCCCTCTTTTCACTTTCATTTTAGAGGTTCACGCAAAACGAATCTGACATGCCTCCATCAATTCGAGCATTTCTGCATTGTAGAGAGCTGATGTGTGTTATGTT